TTTCTTTTGTTTTGTTTTTTTAACTGGAAAATTTCTGCCCTGACCTGCGTCAACATGCTATTGTCGAAGTAACTAACACCTTGTTTCTTAGCAACTGCTGAAGAGAGAGGAAGTGGAGGTGCTCCTGCCATTACGCGACCATGTGACTGGAGAGTGTTGGTAAACAAGAGCAGAAACAGGGAGGGCGGTACTGCAGGGCGATGGGAGTGGAGGTTTTGTTCTGAACAACCATTTAACACATGTTGGGTAATCGGCTTATTCACGATCTGGAAGAGAGTCCGATGAGAACACCGAAAACAATCCTCATGTCTGTTTGGTTACATGTGCAGAAACACGGGAAGCAGGGAGGAAGCAGCTGGCCCGCCTCCATCGAAATGCAGCAAAATGTGCACAATCAGCACCTAAAGCTCATTACCGTTTGCCCAAAAACCTCTTTACACTTAAGCGGTGTTACGAGACACGCTGACACTTACATTTGTCTATTTTGTGTCCACAAGGTCTCCAGCTGACTACTTTTGTTCAGATTTCAGCACTATGCTCATCAATTCTGATTGTCTTTTGATCCTTTGACCTTCAGATTTGTTTAGCAAAGCGCACGAGATGTTTTTAGAACTAAAAACACATGTGCAGGTTTTTAAGCTGCTGACATTAGAAGGACAAAGTCATTTGTGGTTTGGGTGCAGCACAATAAGACTGCTGGACCGCCACGTCCTGCATTAGCAACATGCTTTCCTGTTAGGTGCTCGTCAGTGCTGCATAAGGACAAGATTAAACATTTTCATTAGATATGGTGGTTGTTTAGACTTTTACTGCCACGAGACGCATTTTAAAACTATGTGGGAACGATTTACAGAATGGTGTGCTCTGTTTTTGCACAAAAAGGAATGAGATCACAGATACAAGTGGCAGAAATGAGCTTCCTCCAAACAGTGTCTGTGTTTAGGAGAATCATAGCTAGGTATTCTCTTTATTGCTGTTGGGCAGACGACATAGAGGGATGGCTGCGTGGACTACCAGATTAAAGGACAGCTTTTATTGTCAAGCTATCAGACTCCTCAAAAGCAACACCTGACACTTCCAATGGATAGATGGAAATTTTATGTGCTGTACGTTTTCTGAATGAGACAATCATGCTGCCAATAAAGGTCATTTAAAAAAAGAAACCATAGGTTATAACAGCAGCTTTGTTTTCTGTAGCAGCTCAGTCTCACTTTTTATCATCTTTAAACCTGATACTGTCCCACTGTATTATGTCTATGAAGGTTCTCAGTCATCCAGGTCAATATAGTCTAAGGAGCTTGGAAGAAAGAAAGAAAGAAAGAAAAGCATCTTTTCACACAAGCGTCTGAAGACGTTTCACCTCTCATCTGAGAAGTGCCTTCAATTCTAAGGTCAAATGGTAGGGAATCGCAGATTTAATTTAAGCCCTACAGCAAATGCATACCTTGAAACTAAGCTTACCCTAATGAAATCAACAGATTATGTATTTAGATTTTACACAATGAGAATCCACTTTTCAAGTGTTTCCAAAGCCCGAGCTCTTAGCTCTCTTAAAATCAGCTGAGTGCTTCTTTAAGTCTAAATACTTTAAATGTATCTGGGTACCATATTCTGCATCCTTGTCTCGTTGCTTCTAGTTTTGGCAAAATGGGAATTTAATGAATCATATGACATGGAGACAAACGAAGGAAGAGAAAAACAGAGACTGCTAGACGTCTGCTGTCTGAGCAGACAGCTGTCTCCTGT